ATGTCATGGTGTTGACCTGTTTTTGATTTTGAGGAGAGTTCTCTGTGCCTCTTGGACTTGAATGACTATTTCCATCCACAGATTAGGGAAGTTCTCAGCTATAATTCATTCAAATAAACCTTTTGCCCCCTTTCCCCACTCTTCTTCTTATGGGACTCCTATAATACACATTTGTTTCATTTCATGGAATTCCTAAGTTCTCTAAGTCCCCCCTAATGATCTAATAATTTTCTCTCCCTCTTTTTTTCACCTTCAGTATTTTCCATAATTTTATCTTCTATATCACCTATTCTCTCCTCTGCTTCTTTGATCCTTGTTGCTACTGTATCCAGTCAGTATTGTATCTCAGTTATAGCATTTTTATTTTAGCCTGACTAGTTTTTAGGCCTTTGGTCTCTGCAACAAGTATTTCTCTGGTGTCTTCTATGCTTTTTTGAAGCCCAGCTAGTAGTCGTATGACTGTTGTTCTAAATTCCTATTCAGATATATTGCCTATATCTGTTTGGAGCAAGTCCCTAGCTGTGATATCTTCTTGACCTTTCTTTTGGGGAGAACTCCTCTGTCTTCTCATTTTGGCCATGTTTTTGTCTTTGCATGTCTTAAAAGCTTGTTATGCTTTCTGCACCTGAGAGGACTGCTATATTAAAAAAGGGTCATATGCACTGTCCAGGGCCTGGCACTTTAGAAAATGTCTCTGGTGTATGCTGTGTGCACTCTGCTGTTGCATCTTGGTTGCTCTTTCCCACTGGTCAGGCCTTTGCAGGGCTCCTCCTTGCTTGTAGTGGGCAGTGTTTGAACCTTTAACTAGGTGTGCTTTGATTTCTTTCTTTTTTTTTTTTTTTCTAGGAGAGAGAGGGAGAGAGACAGTGTGAGCAGGGGAGGGTCAGAGAGAGAGGGAGACACAGACTCTGAAATAGGCTCCAGGCTCTGAGCTGGCAGTCCGCACAGAGCCCGACGCGGGGCTCGAACCCACGAACCGCGAGATCATGACCTAAGCGAAAGTCGGATGCTTAACCGACTAAGCCACCCAGGCGCCCCTGCTTTGATTTATTTCTTGAAGTGAACCTGCCACACTGTCTCCTTCCAACTGTGGAGATCCTTCTGCCACTCCATGATTGGTTTCCTGGATGTTCCAAGTGATCTGACCTCAATACAGCTGTGTTTGAGGGACAAGGAACAGGGTCCTCGTACTTCTCCACTTTAACTTCTCCCCAGCAATGGAAATGTTTTATATAATGACTGTATCAGTGACAATACCCTAGTTGGAGCATTTTACTACAGCTTTGCAAGACGTTGCCTTTGAAGGAATCTGGTTAAAATGATACACAGGATCTGTCTTATTTTTTACAACTGCTTGTGTATCTACAATGATCTCAAAATAAAAAGTTTAATTAAAAAAAGTATATATCATAGCAAAGGGCTGAGCATATCAAGACTTTCTTGAAGAAAATAAAAAATATAGGTGAAGATGTAGAACTATATGCCCTGAGACCTATGTTTGGAAAACAGTTTGGCTTAAAATCAAAGACACATTTGGTTCTTTTTTTTAATGTTTATTTATTTATTTTGAGAGAGAGAGCAGGGGAGGGGCAAAGAGAGAGAATCCTGACACGTGGATTAATCTCACAAATTATGAGATTATGACCTGAGCCAAAGTCAAGAGTCAGATGCTTAACTGACTGAGCCACCCATGTGCCCTCACATATTTGGTTCAATACCTCAATTCATCTGCTCAATAGATTATCTTGGAAAAACGTCTCTGAGGTGCATCAGAAAGCACATAAAGAACATTCATAGCAGCATAGCAGCGTAGTAGCATAAAGAAAACTATGTTTCCAATGTTAATTTCCTAGTTTTAAGGTAGGATGGCAAGATAATCATCGTGAATCAAATGTGTGATGGTGATGTAAGATGTTATCATCATGAATCTAAAGTTATTTAAAAATTTTTTTTAATATTTTATTTCTGAGAGAGAGAGACAGCATGAGCAGGGGAGGGTCAGAGAGAGAGGGAAATACAGAATCTAAAGACAGGCTCCAGGCTCTGAGCTGTCAGCACAGAGCCCGACGTGGGGCTCAAACCCACAAACCGTGAGATCATGACCTGAGCTGAAGTCGGACGCTTAACTGACTGAGCCACCCATCTAAAATGATTTTAAATGAAAAAAACCTTATCTGGACACATTTTATTGAAAATGATTTACAAACTTGGAGCATACAATGGAATACTAAGTAGCAGTGAAAACAGAAGAACCGCTGCTGTATGCCTCACCAGATATATCTTAGTAACATACTGTTAAGAAAAATGCATGGCATGGGGGAGACAATACAATTTGATACCTTACATAAAGTTCAAAGACACAAACAAAACAAAGTACTGTTGAAGGACACATCCAAATATGATAAAACTCAAAGAAAAACCAGAGTTCTGCAATTCTGCTTTGAGGAGGGAGGAAGGGAAAAGGGCCCAGGGGAGGGAAACGACTGGAGACCTCAAAAGTACTGTAACATTTGATTTCTCCAGCTGGGTGGAGGAGGAATGAACATTCACAATGACAGATTTTCTTACAACTTACGTATACATCGCACATACTCAATAGGAAGTTTTACCTAATGAAAAACAATGGAACACAAAGGTGCTATGTGGAAGAAACTCATTCTGGAGGGTTTGCCAAAATGTGTGGCCACGCTTCATTTTTTTTTTTTTACCACCTGGAGAAAGCCTGTCTTATCTAGGGCAAGTTAAGGATAAGACTCCAAATAAGGGGAGACAGGCAATGATAGAAGATGGAGAAGGAGATAGACATGGAGCAGAGCAGACTCTGACTTCTACAGCATGATGACCACATTCTAGGATCAACACCAGTATCAGCTCCAGCCACGTGAGCCAGCCTGTCTCGCTGTGCTCAAAGTAGGTGGAGTCGGGTTGTCAGTGGAACTGGAAGAATCCTGAGTCCCAGAGGCATCCCAGCCCAGCTGTGTCAGACGTTGAGGGCTTGGAGGTGCCCAGACAGGCCTGTGTTCCATCCACCCTCCCCTACTGCCATACCACCTTGTGTCAGGGGACCAGGTGATCAGAGAAGGTATACGACTTGCCCAGGCTCACCTAAAAGACGGTACATTTTCTGTCACATCTCAACTGCTTTGTCTTGCCACTGACAGTGTCGTCAGTAAAGGATGAGAGGGTGCAGGAAAACAGCACCAGGTGGCAACTTGACTGCGATTTGTCTGGAACTTTGGTGGAGGGACCACTCCAAGGTAGGAAGGGCTGTAGCATGGAAGCCTCTGCCAGAGCCTCCTTCCGCACCATGCTGGATGCAGTCCCCGAGAGAGTGAGAACCCCGGAGTAGAAGTAGAGCGGGAGTTTGGAGGGTCCCCCAAGCCTGATGCGGGGCACAGTGGAGTATATATCCCAGAGTGCTGGCCTACAATCCCTGAGGCTCCAAACCAGAAGTGACTCTGAGAAACAGAACAGCTGTTCTGATTTGCGTTCTACACATCTGCTCAGACATTCTACAACTATTCACTAGGCTCTCAGCTAGGTCCTTGAGATCCTGTAGTGGAGCTTCAACAGCTGCTTTCATGGAACTCACTTTCTAGTTTTTAAACAAGCAATGAGAGAGGGGCTTTAGGTCAACAAACTGTAGAGACACCCCAGTCGAGCCCTGTAAGTCAGAAAGTGGGTAGCAAATCATCCTTGGTAAAACTTGGGGGTTAAGGTTGCTTCTCACTCTGCTCTGCGCACGCAGATACACACACACACACACACACACACACACACACACACACACAGCCTGTTCCCAAATAAATGTTCTTTGAACTGCTGTAAGGAAGGAGGCGGTAGGAGGGTGGTAGGCAGCTTTGTGAAACCTGCATTAACCAGAGTGCCTTACCAGATGGAGATGGCTGTCCTGAGAGTGCTTCTGACACTTGGAATCCCTTGCTCTCACCCACACACAACTTGTTCTGTGTGCCTCAGTGGGCCAGTAAAATACAGAGGGGAGTGGAAGGCCACGTTCCTGGCCTCTGAGAGCTCATTGTCCAGATACACCTAATTGCCAGGGCAACAGTAGCCTTGTCAGCCTGGTGGCCCCAGAGTCCAGAACTCCAGAGCACTGTCTGGAGTCGGCCTCGCTGATATTCCGGGCATCGTTACTCCTTCTCACCCAAGGAACAGAAGGTTTAGGGTAAAATTCTCTTTAGGAGACGTTGGCTTTAGATTGGCGCACCTTGTACTGGTTTTCCTCTCTTGCTGGCCAGGTCTGAGGTGATACCTATGACCCCACAGAGGCATCCCGAGGAGGGATCTGGACCTAGAGAGGGGAGGGCAGGCTAGAGGCCCCAAGGGGTGACAGTGGGGCCAATCACCGGCACATGGTCCACTACACAACCTGGCTCTCCCCCAACCTCCTTTCCTTTCTGTCTTCACAGAAGGCCGTGCATCAGCGTCTTGGGAGGTGGAAGAAAGGACTGGCATCTAGGTTTTAAAAGACCAGAAACAAACGTCCCCTGACAATTTCTCAATTTCTCCTGTCATTTTTCTGGATTCAAAGGAGGAGCAGAGTTACAGTGGGGAAGACAGACGTAGTGGGGCCACGAGGGACAGCCCGATCCGGGGTCCCCAGGAGACCGGGCCAGGGGGTTCTCTCCCGCGGAGTGCGGGCTCCGGGCGGGCGGACGCCCCCAGCCCCGCAGCGGCGCGGGCCCCGCATGACATCAGAGGCTGGGGAGCGCGCAGAGCGCAGGCGCCGGCCTAGGAGCGAGACGGGAGGGGGCCGCGGCGCGCGGCTCGGGAGAGCGCTCCTCCGCCCCGCGCGCCGTCCCTGCGCCCCGCTCCGCCCGCGCCTCGCTGACCGCGCCGCGCCTCGGGCGTCCAGAGCGCGCCCCTCGCACCGCAGCGAGCGCCGCCCGCAGCAGCCCAGCCCCAGCCTTCTCCTCCTCCTCCTCCTCCTCTGTCGCCGCCGCCGCCGGACACGCAGCCGCAGGCCGGGGCCGGGACGCAGCTGGGGAGTCAGGGACGCGCGCAGCCAGCCCTTCCCCCTCCCGCTCCCGCACCGCCGGCCGCCTCCCCTCGCCCTCCTCCTCCTCCCTCCCTGCTCCTTCGCTTTTCCTCCACCTCCTCCTGCACGGCCCGGCTGCCAGCACCATGTCCGCAGGGGGAGATTTTGGGAACCCACTGAGAAAATTCAAGTTGGTGTTCCTGGGGGAGCAGAGCGGTAAGTACCCCACTTATTCTCTTGGCTTGGCTCCGAGTCGACCCCTGCAGCCAAATCATCCGCCCCGTTGGGGCCCCGGCCGAGGCTCGGAAAGGCCCCTCCAAGCCGAGGCGGAGGGGAGGGACGGGGATGTGGGGGTCGGGGCCGTCTCGGGCGGGGCCGGGCAGGGGAGGGGCCCGGGGTAGGGAAGGAGGGGGGCGCTGGGCCCCAGGTGGGAGTGAGGGTGGGAGGTGGGGTGTGGGGCTAGAGCTGCGGGGCCGGTGCTGCGCGGCGGGGGGCCGGAGGGCGGCGGCTCGCTCGGCGGCGCTGGCCGGGGCGTGAAGGCGCCGGGCTCGCCTGCCCGCTCGCACTGCGGCACCGGCTGCGGGCGACCGCGCAGGTGGAGGGGCGGCCGCGGGGGCCGGGGGAGGACTGGCGCCTCTCCTCGGAGAACGAGGCGGGGCCGGCGTCTGGCCGGAGGGCTCCCTGCGGACCCTGCCCGGACCCTTGTTTAACGACGGGCACGTCCGGGGCCCTGGAGCCGAGGGCCGAGGGGGGAAGGCCAACACCTGTCTCCTGTGGAAAGAGCCGGGCGCAGGCTGTAGGGGAACAGGGCGCCTACCTCCCCTGGCCTGCGTCCGACTGGGCACGGAAGGTTCTAGACGCTGCCCTGTGCCAGCATGTGTTAGAGTCTCTCGGGCTCTCGGGGTCTGGGCGAGGACAGCTAGGGTTCCCCGGTGCGAGGCCGATTTGGGGGATGGTACAGGGCGCCGCGCACCAAGAGGCGGCGGAGCCTGGCGCTGGGCAGAGAAAGGACCAGGCGACACGCCCTGCCTGGCTTCCCAGCACCCCTCCTGAGAGCGTTGTCGGCGGAGGCGGCTTCCCACCCCCACCTCCCAGCTCACCGCCAGTCTTGGGGGAGGGGAGGTCACCGTGGCAGCCGGCCAGGGGCGGGGGGAAGGGGAGACAAAACGGCTTCCCTGCCGCCCGGCAGCCTCCCCAGGGAAAGCATCTCAGAAACCCTGGTTGGCCCCAGGGTGGGAGGACCAGATTGAAGAGTGTGGACCCCTCTGACACCTGTAGGAAGGAGCTGTTCTCAGCGCACCTCTCCAGAGGCCTCTCACCTGGGGCTGCAGAGACACAGGCCGGGCCTTGCCCAGCTCATCCCTGGAAGAACGTGGTCGCCGGGGACAGGATCCCCATCTCTAGCTTTGCAGACCAGTCCATTTCACCCGGTTTGGTGCCTGTGTATACAAGGAGCTGAGACACAGGCAACCTTTGGAGGACCTGGTGAGCTCAGGGAACAGTGCTACTGGTGTGTGTACATGTGGGTTGTGAAGGTCACATGGCAGTCTCCTGTGTCGCTGCTCATTACCTGGGATGGGTGCTTCAGAGAAGGATGGCAGACATGGTCAGGCCCTAACATGGTGATGGATCCTGGGGCCAGGCAGGGCATTTCAGAAGATGATCTACTGAGCCAGCCTTGTGTCCTGGACCCTGAGGTTCTCATTTTAATAGAGTCCAGTTTCAGAGCTCCCTTTTCCCCATGCCTGAAGGGATTTCAGGCGTCTTCACATCCCAGTGCTTATCTTACCCAGCCTGGAGCCCTGGGAGAAACTCTGAAGGGATCAGGCATCCTGGGAGTTGAATTCCTACCTGGTTTGCTTTGAGCAGATTTCGAGGCCTCTCTGAGCCTCAGTTTCTGTCTCTGTGAAATGGTTGCTTGAGGACAGTTCTCTTCCTCTTACATGTTTCCCCTGTGCCTCACAAAGGGCCTGGACCCTGGTAGGCTCTCAAGAAACATTTGTTTATTCCAAGTCTGAACATGCTTCAGTAAAGGACCAGGGCTTTGATGAGAATGTCCCTTGTGAGTCTGAGTGAAAACTCTGGACTCCCTCAGAATTTCTGATGGATTGAGGCCCCTGAGGAGCCTTGCAAACCTCCTTTGTTCCTAAATTACAGAAATGAGAGCTTGAGACTTTAGAAATAGAGCTCCCACCTTGTTTGTGTAGATTAGAAGTCTGAGCCCAGGAGTGGGAAGGGCTTGGGAGAGCCAGCATCTGTGAGTTGCTAGCCCTTCTGAGGCTGGAACCCGTATCTCCTGCCCCCAGTCATTAACGTTGGGAATTAAGATGACCTTGAATTGGGGAAACAAAGAATTAGGGAGCCTTCCTGAGTTGAGGTGAGGATTGCCATTCTCTGGCCAGACTTGTGGCTGGGTTAGGTGACCTGGTGGGAATGCTGGGCTCTTTGGTTGGGGGCAGGGTTTGTGGGCCCTTGGAACACAGTCATTAGAGATGAAAGGCTCTGCATCATTGAGTTTGGCTTTTGGCCACTCTGGTCCCTTCTGGCTGGGGTCCCTAGGGCCCTGAGAAGCCTTTTCCTACTTGAATATGTCATTAGTGGGTTGTGTACCTTGTATTCTACATCGCTTTTGGGGCCCCCAAGTCAGGTGGGGTTCCTAATGCATCCCTGAGCCTGGTGGGATGGGGAGAGTGCCTTCGTAGCCATTGTTTCTGTCTTGCCTGCACACAGTTTTGTGTGTGTTGGTCCTTTGTGCCACTGCAGCCTATGCAGTGCAAGGAGCCCCTGAGGTCCGGCCTTCCCACCAGCGTGGCGGGGACCTCCCTACGTGACCTCGGAGGGCCATCACCTTCTGTACTTGGGACACTTGGGCCAGCTGTGCTTGACAGAACCTTCGAGAGCAGCATGCATGAGTCTGCCTGTATGAGCTGACTCCCCTGGATAGAGGCCAGGGGAAAGGGCTGGAGGCATGTGGCCTTCTCTTGTTTCCTATGCCTGGTGTAGTGGTGGCATCTCCCTAGACCAGTGGATGAGGACAGCTAGATTCCAAAAAGGAGTACCCAACCTGAAGCCCAGGGATGAGAAGGACACCCTGGAATAGATAATCCCAAGAGGGCATCAAGCCTTCAGAGATACCAGGACCTGCTCTGAGTGGGAAGACCTTAAGGAACCACTCTAGAGAGAACACCTAGCCCAGGAGAGAGCCCCCTTCCTGGCAGCAGAATGACTGCTGTCCCCTGTACCATGGACTACAGGTTTGCTGGCTGTGTTAACCTGGCAGGCGTGGGGTTGTGGAAAGGGTGTTGTGGACCTAGAATGAGTGGATTCTTCTCAGTAGGAAGGCTCTGCAGTCCTGCTGGTGTCCAGATGGCTCTCTGGGCCTTTTGGTCATGGCCTTGTGCTGCTGGCAGTGACAGGGGATGGGGTAGAGAGTGAGGGACACTAGTCACAACTGCGACACTTGGGGACATCCAGAGAAGACAGGCATGATCAGGTGTCTTAGGAAAGAGAGGAGTCCTGGGGGACACACGTGTTCCTCTAAGTTCTGATGGCATTCTGTGGGGGTTTAGGCTTCGCTCAGTGCACCTGGGTGTGTGGTGGGGACAAGGGATGTGGGATATGCCTTTGTGGTGTTCCGGCCTCTTCTGATAGCCCTTCCCTTAGACTCCTCCAGCCCGAGCAGGAAGATTGAGAAACACAAGTTGGGCCTGCATTCCCCAGCTGAGGCCAGCAGGACAGCCTCTCCTGTCCTTTCCCTGGCACTTGTGCTCTGGAGGTGCCATCACAGGGCGCATGACGGGAATGGCGTCCCCAGAGTTGTACAGCACAGTGACTGTGCACACGGCGTTGGCCGTTTAGTCATTTGTTCACTCGTTTAGTCATTTGTTCACTCGTCTCTCCCCGCCCCCCGCCCTCCCATCACTCTCTCCCTTCCTCCTTCCATCATCCATTTATTTATTTAGTCAGGTCTTTGAGTGTATCCCTGCCTCCCGGAACTTACAGTCCACTGGGGAGTTCAGACATTTGTGGATATAATTACAGTAAAGGTCTATGCGAGCGATGACGAGAGAAGAACAGCTGCTGTGGAAGCACACAGCAGGGAGTCCTATCCACCTTTGTAGGCAGGTGTCAGAGGAGATGCTTCCATAGGCAGGTGGCTGGGACTCCTTTGGTGGGCTGAGTACAGGGCCTACGTCTTGCCAGGGGCCCACCCTCTCCAGGGAGCTTTGTCTGTTCTTCTCCCTGCTCTGGAGAAAAAGTGTGTGGGGTGGGGAGCAAGAGGGTGAGGGCGTCTGGTTTGCCGGTGCTGAGAAGGGCTTTCCCCGACTGTCATCCCATTCCTCTGGGTTAAGGAGTCGCCTTCCCCCCCATTCCCCGCCACTGCCTGGAAGGCTCCCCCTGCCCACCCACGGCCTGGCCCAGCCTAACCCCTGACCTCCCACCACACACCACTCATAACCACATACGGTGCCCTTCGCTGGCCTGAGGATCGTACCTGAAGCCCATCCCAAAAGTCTCCTTCCTGACATCTCCCAGATCCCCTTGCTCTGCTGTGCCCAGCCCTCTTGGGTGCTCACCATGGCATAGCTTTGGGTTCCTTCTGAGCATTTTTAAAAAACTATCACGTGTTGCCCATGACCTCTCAGTTATCTCAGTTATCCTGGATTTTTAAATGTTTATTAGCTTTTTAAGAAACAGAACCCCTAACTGAATTTTAGGCCCCTTAAAGGTCAATTTAAGCACCTAAGAGGACTAGATCTTAGTTCCTTTCCCCTTTTCCCCATCTGCAGGAGATTTCTGCCCATTAAATATCTGGATTTTAAAATGATGAGATTATCCTTGCTGTTTGATATTTACTGATGGCCCATCAGTAGATTAAAAGCAGGGGGGGTGGGGAGGCAAGACAGTTTGAAACAGGATTCTTCATCCTGACACCTGCTGCCTTCTCAAGCTAGGAGATTTTTACCAGAAACACTTAATCTTTCACAGAGGGCTGAAGCATTTAGCCTTGGTTATACCCAACCCACAGTACATCTCAGAGAAGCTGAACTTCTCAAGGGACTCTCATCCCCACCACTTTCTCTGAGGAAATATGAGAAAGCAGCAAGGCCACCAGAGGTGGGAAGGAAGGGATGTGCCCAAACTGGATGTTGCCAGAGCTCACTTGGAGATCAGGCATAAATCACCAAATTGCTCTGTGCCTCAGCTTCTAGTTG